GGGGGGTGGGGGTGGGGAGGGGAAGAGATTGATTCAGCCTTCTGCCCTGAGTTTCCCTATTTCAGGAAACCTTGACCTGATCATTTCTCCAGTGGTTACCTTGTCCCTGGCATATCCTGACCCCAGCAAAAGGAACACTCCTGCTCAACTAACCTTTCCCTTTTGGTCCTCAAAGCTTCAGTTCACCACCTTTCAGTGAACTCCTGCTACAGAACCCTGTGTTCCCGGCTGGTTCCAGTCTCCACAGGTCCAGGTGCAGCCCCCTGAAGGGAAGTCTTGGCTGTGTCCTTCTCAGCTTGAACATATATCACGTGTATTATATTTACCCAGAGGGTTTATTGCCAACAGATGGTTAAACTCCATCCTCAGAGGGCTTAACTCCTGTCATCCAGGGGTAAAGCCGCCCTAGTTTGCATGTTAAGAATTTCTTAGGGGGTGCTGATGTCCGCTTTGGGAATCAATGCCCTAGATAAAAGAAGGTGCTGCGGCTTGGGCTCCCCCTTTCTTACCATCTCTTCCCGCCCATTTGTGCAAGTCTCCCTTCTCTGTGGCAGCCCCCCCCCCCCATTCCCCGCGTTTGGACTGCTTCTAAGAATCTCACTCCTGTCTGGGTTCTGAAAGCGTAGGGAAGGTCGCCGGTCCCAGCCTTGCGCAGCTTGGTTCTCCTTGGTTTTCCACGCAAACGCGGACGGTTGCACTTGCCCTAGCCCAGGTGTCTGAATTATTCACTCTTCCAGGACTCCTAGCGTCATGTGAGCCCTTCTCTGCAAGTTTGTGGCTGAGCACTCGGCTAGCTGTTCTCCTCCAGAGCTCGGCAGCCAGGGGGGAAGCTCCCCAGCGGCCCCGCAGGTGTCCCCGCGTGCCAGATCCAGCCTGGGGCGCAGGGCCATTCCGCGTGCCAGCTCTGCGCTCTTACCCATCTGGCTCCAGCTCCGGGTGTGAGCTAGCGCGGGTGTTGCAAGCTCCGGTGTCCCGGAGGGGGGCAGTAGCAGCGTCAGGTGGCTGCTCTGCATCCCCGAGCGCCACCCAGCCACTTCCTAGTCGGCGCTCACCGCGGCTGGAGCGGGAGCCCATCGGTGTCGCCGCTCCAGGACCCGCGTCCGCCCGCCGCAGGGACTCGGGAGAAGCTGAGATGTGAGCCCTCCGACTGCCTGTTGCCTTCGCTGGCGCCCACCTCTCCAAACCACAGCCCGCGACGGCCAGCGAGCACTTGCCTAGATCTTCCGGGAGAAAGGTGCGGCCCCTGGGCGCACGCACAGCGCGGCAGAAGTTGGACTGCCCAGGGCAGCTGTCATCCAGCTGTGTGAGAGGGGTGGGCTGGGAGACTGAGACAGCAGACTTAAGGAAGAGGGCTCCGTCCGGGCGACGGGGCGGAGAGGGGGAGGTTGAGTTGTTTCTCTCTCTCTCCCCTGCCTCCCGGGCGCGGGGCAGTGGAAGAAATGCTGAGCCGGCGCCCCGGCGCCCGCCGCCGCGACAGCAGCCTCAGCAGCAGCCTGAGCATCAGCACCGGCGGGACAGCGACAGCGGGGGCGGCGCAGGCGCACTGTGCCCGGCGGAGCCTGCAGTTCCCCAGCCGCGTGTGCGGCACCGCCACAGTCTGGGCAGCGGCGGCCGGGGGAGCGCTACTACCATGAACTGCCTGGTCCGTCTCCCCAGAGCTACTCATCCAGGTCGGGCTGGAGACACAGTCAGGGGACCCCGCCGCCGCCGCCGCGCCCCCTCTTCTTTCGGCTTGATCTCCACCACCTCTTCCTCCTCTTTTTCCACCTTCTCTTCCTGCTTCCCCCCCTCCCCCGCCGCGGATCCTGGCCGCCGCTCTCCAGACCCAGGATGCCGGGGGGCAAGAGAGGGCTGGTGGCACCGCAGAACACATTTTTGGAGAACATCGTCAGGCGCTCCAGTGGTAAGGAGAGTTGCAGTTCAGAACAATCCCCACCTCCATCCCGCCCACGGCGCACCCCCATCCTGCCCATCCCATCCCTCTCCTAAGGGGGGAGGGGGGGCACAGGCAGACTTACCTGGTGGGTTCGGGTGGGTGGGGGGCAGGAAGGGGGCTGTGGGGGGAAGTTAGTTGCATCTACGTTCTAGGGGGTGTACCCGCCTCCCACCTGTCCAGACAGACCCCAGAGCAGGAGCTCTAGGGAGTGGGTGGGTAGAGCAGAGGTTCATCCGAGAATAGGTTTGAATTTGACTGCCAGGTTGAACCTTTCCTCTTCACCTCTCCTCTACATCCTCTTCCCAAATCGGCTGCAGGCACTGAACAAATTCTTTAAGTCATCTTTTTCAGTGGAAATGTTGTTTTTAAGTTGGGAATGGCTGGGAAAGTGGCTACTCAATCAAATTTAAGTCTCTTGGAGGGCTTTTGGTCCTAATGAAACCATCTGAGAGTGCCCTGGGTTAGGTTGAGTAGTCTGAGTTGAACCTAAAAGTGCCAACGCTCGAGACGTAGAAAGGCGATTCCCAGGATCAAATCTGTTTAAAGTTTCTTTTTATTTTCCTCATTGTGTATTGGCTTATCGGATGTAGCTCATCTAAGTGGAAGTATAGAAATGAAGCTCGTTTCTGTGCTTTTAATGCACTTGGGGAAAATTGTTGAACAATGCCATTCTACCTCACTACTGATAAATTAAGGTTTTCCTGTTCTGAAGTGTCTTTAAGATACCATCCTCTTATGCATGGGTGTCCTACAGATTGTGGATGGGAATGACTACATAGTTCACATTTAAGACCATATAAACCTTTTTATCTTATTGAATTCTGTACCTCCTAGTTGTTTTAATATAATTTTAACGTTGTAATCAAGATATATGGAATATTCTTTAAGGGCTTTCCTTCTGAGGCCTGCTATTTTATTTGGAGATTCCATCGTGGAGAACTATGAGAAGGATAATTCTGCATATGGAGTTGAGCATACAAGCAGTGGAAATACTCCATGTCCCTCTCTCCTTGAAACTATATTTATTTGGGGGGGGCTTATGCAGCAGACATGGTGTGAGTCTTTCAGATTAAAAAAAAATGGTTAAGACACTTCCTTGTTTTCAAGAAACTCCTACACAGTGGGCAAGAAATGGGCTTACAGAAATGTTAACAAATATCAGGCACAGTGATGCTGTTTCCCAGGTGGGAAGTCCAAGCACACTGCTTCCTGTAGATCAGCATCTAAGATTAACATCCTGATAACCAGGCTTGCAAACTCCCTTTCTGATTTGGGCATCTATGTATTTGAGTGTTCCAAAGTGTTTATCCTAAATGATTGATTGAGAATTTGGTTTTGAGGTTTGTGACTGTTTCTTCCACTTTGGCCTCTGCATGACTCTGTGCAAGTCCAGATCAGACTAGATGTGGCACATTAGAATCCACAAAGTAACTAAAGGAGTTGGCCTTGTAATCATTTTACTCTTTGTAATATTTTATCCATCCCAGGGTGGGCTCATGTGCACTTTCAGTTTTTATGATAATATGAAAGTTCACAGTGGTAGCAATTTTTATATTAATGCATTTTCCTCTTTTATTAATATCACACATAGATCTAGAATACAAGGGTGGTGGTGGAGTATTACTGTTAAAACAACCAGTTGTTGAGGAGAGGAACTGAAAGGTTATTGGAATCAGCTATTTGCTATATTAGTTTTCTTCCAGATTTCTCGTCTTCTTGAGTTGTTTTCAGTCATACACGATTTGGTTTCTAAGAGGACTTTGCAGAGAAGGCCTTAGAGACCCAAGCCATGAGCTCCCTGCTGTTCTTGGTGAAGAGGGAGAGGATGAGATCCCTGGATTGAAATGTGTTAATGTAGTACCTTTAGTGGAACTTCCCCCTCAGATTGTAATTATGAGGTAGTTTTTGGAACATGTTTATTTCAGTCTTAATGGGAAAACTTACCTTATGTGGCTCAAGACTGTCCGATTGACTTTGAACAATGATATTGAGAAACCTGGAATTTTGTTGAGAGTATGTTAGATATTTGAGAAATAAGCATGTCTCTATGTAATCAGTACTAGGAAGCAGCAGAATTAGGAAATGTAATGTGAAATTGTTCTCCCCATCCACAGGGGACTGTCCCCCAGTTGTCATTTCTACCTTATTTGACAGAGAAATTGAAAAAAATTCATCAAAAGAAACTATTTAATTAAGATTAGCAGAGAAAATTCCCTTCTGGATCATCAAAGATGGATCAAGTTTGCACACTGAAGATTTCATTATTAACTCACTTAGCAACATTGGAAATGAAGTGTTGGCAGAACTTTAGTGGGAAAAGAAAGTCAAGGTAGTGGCACTCCTGGCTAATTTAAGAATTGCGGAAACAGAGGCTGGCATTTTATGCTCACCTGCACCCCAAGATTTCCCTTCTCATACAACATTATTCTCTTCTTATGAAAAGATCAGACCTTGCATTGAGAGTCAGAAATAGACTATATAGAGAGAGGCAGAGATGACATCAAAGCCTACAGATAGACAGATGGACAGGCATCCACCCAGACACAAAGATGGACACAGGGGAAGCAAACTCTTTCTCTCATATTCACAAAGAGCAAAAGAGAGATAGAGAAAAAAGTCAAGCATGTGTACATGCATGTGCATACAAACACACGAGAGAGAGAGAGAGAGAGAGAGAGAGAGAGAGAGAGAGAGAGAGAGATAGAGATAGAGATCAGACATTTGTTTTTGTCCAAGGGTAACTAGAGAGCACAGGCAGTCAGGAATCCATCAAGCAACTTTTGGAAATGCAGAACAAATGATGGAGAAGTAAGGCATATTTGAGCAGAGCTTTTAAAGCAGAGGATTTTCTAATCAAATTCTGACATCCTCAGCTGCAATTTCCAGAGTAACAGTGCATGCCCTGGAGTAGCAACAGTAGCCTCTTTGCTGTTGTTTTACACCCTTGAGATTGGTTTTTTATTTTCCTTATTTAGTTGACTCTGTTATGGACAAGCATTGCAAGTTGTTACTGGTGACTCAAAGTCTATAAAATACAATAATGTGAGCCATCATGTAGGATGGATGCATACACATTTTGTGACCAAATCTCAAAATAAAAGAAGCAAGGAATTCCTCTCTTTAGTTTTAAGATTAAAGACTTGATGAAGCAGCTAAAGAATACAGTACTTCTTAACATCTAAGTATGGAGAGCATGTTATTCTTCCAAGAATTTGTGAAGGTCAAAAGTATAAAGGCAACAGAAGTGTGTAGATAAGCATTAAAAATAGATTGTTTTGCTCTTGATTGACACATAGTATATTCCATATTTATAGGGTGTGGTGTGACATTTCAATGCCCGTGTACAATATATGATGATCAGATCAAGGAAAATGGCATATTTACCACCTCACAAATTTATTTTCTTTTTGTTACAAATAGTCCTACTGGCTAGGCTGAAATATTAGATTATCAGCCACAGTTAACTTTATATATTTGATTATTTGGATCAAAATAAGTTATCAGGAAGGGAGGGGTTGAGAACTAGGTGCAAGTCCATTTCACCTGAATAACATGACTGTCAAAGGCTCCTGCTCCAAGTACTTATGGAATAAATCCATGTTTAGCATCATCAAGATCTCCTCCATTATTTATATCTTCATTGTTCATGCAAACTCTTTGTCAGTATAAACTGGCATCTAGGGAGAAGTGAAATTATGTATAGATGTTAAATATCTGAAAGAAAATGACTGTTTTTAGGACTTTTAGTTTGAGTGGAGTGTTAGTTTCAAAAGACGAAAAAAAAAATTCAAAGCCCTGATGTGGATCCTCCTGGACAGCATATTTCACTCACATGTTTTCTATGACTCCTCAGTGACCACCAGAAGTGATTAGTTTGAGTGACAGTAAACCGGGTTGCCATTCTGAAAAGCTGTAAATACAAAATTAGATCTTTATTTGAAATTATTATCTATTAAATTTATAGCATTATTGAAAATTAGACTTTTTTCACTTTTATGAAAAACTGGAAGTGTCTTTTTTTCTCTTTGGTGGAAAAAAGAGGAAAACAGAGAATAGAATCTTTTAGGAATGGCTCGGTTTTCAGGACCTCGATAGCTTCTGTTTTCCCTTTTTTCTAGACAGTGGGCTTGCACAAGCCCTTGACTCAGCCATCTCTTCCTCGTAAAGATGACCAGAATTATTTTTCACATTGCACCTGGTATTTATAAGAGCAGCAGAACAAAAGAGACCCTTACGGGAGAAAACAGAGAACCAAGTGACTTGATACCAAAACCGAAATGGAAAAATAACTTTTAATTACTGCCCAATTTCAAGGAAATGGTAGAAAGCAAATGGGTTTTTGTGTTGTTTTTAAGGTTTTGATTTTTCTTTTCTTGAATGATTTTCTGTAACATCTAAGACACCATTCAGGAAATATTGATAAAACCACATAGTGTTTTTGAAGCATCGGTTTACCCAGGTCTTATAATGTACCACTTTTACGTTTAAAATATCAGAGGTTGATATTATACTGACCGCTTCCTAAATTATATTGATGAATAACCGGGAGCATCATCTCACTTCTGAGCCTGTACTGCATTGCATAATGAATGCTGTGCACTGCTGGCCAAAGGCTGTTCCTCCTGCACACTTTTGCCATCTCTAGTGTCAATCTTTGCTTGATTCTAGAAGTAGACTATGTAAGAAATCCATTTACTTAACCATTTTTAGTCTATTTCCTGAAAAAGCCATACAGCACCACTATTATTTAATGGAAGGTAGTAGGAATGACCGAGAAGAGATCCATGCAGGGGCTTTTGAATTTAGTCAGTGTTTACCTTCTGCTCTCACTGTGAAAAGCACCACAGTGAGCCTAGGCAGAGGTTGTATGACAATTACGTTTCTGTGGTTGTCATTTACCACAAGAGGTCACTGTAGGTTCTATCAGGCTTCCTCAACATCTTTCCTTTTCTCCCCTTCCACCCACT